ATCAGATATTGAAAGAAAAATGGTGCGACAAACGTACACAATACAAATCTATGAGAGTATCTTAGACAAAGTTGTGATTTAAAAGAAATACTTTGCTTTTTTGAAATTGCTTTGCTTTGCTTTTTGAGCAGATATTAAATTTCACTAGGTACTACTATAAACAGTGACAGCACCCTTTTCAAAACATGTAAACTGTATCAGAATGAATGGAACATGAATTAACAAGGCAGAAATACCACTCTTCTTACTCCAGCAGTCCCTTGTAAGGGAGTAACATGTTGCAATTCATCTGAATTTAGTTGTACGGTGTTTAGCATTATTGCGAAAGATAAAAAGAGTAGAGAGCTGTGTTATGTAGAGATGCACTTTTTTGAGTAAACAGGTTAATTCACTTTCCCTTTAGGAATAATCTCTAGGTTTTGATGTATTCACTGTTTTTGTGGTCTCTATAGCCACACTGTCCTACATAATTCACATTGTGATTGGAACTCAAATATCTCCTTCATACAAGTAAAACTGTAGAGTTAGTGTGGGAGTTCAGTGTTTAATTTTTCAATATTTTTCTCCATACTGGCTGTTAATAATTTTTTCCTGAATCCTCTGCCTAATATTTCATTAATAGCAAAGTAAGACAACACATGGTTGCGATCATAATATATACACCAGGGTAAATTTAGGTTGGATATTGGGAAAAACCTCTTTACAGAAAGGGTGGTTAAGCTCCAAAATAGGATCCTCATGGGGGTGGTTGAGTCACTGTCCCTGAATGTGTTTAAAAACTGTTTGGCTGTGGTGCTCAGTGACATGATTTAGTGGAGGGTTGTGAAAGTTAGGGTAGTATGGTGATTGGACTTGATGACCTTTAAAGTCTTTTCCAGTCTGAGCAATTTTATGATTCTATGTTATCATGGACCTGGAAATGTGTTTTAATTTCTAATGTAACTTGTGTTTAAAATTTCGGTTTTGGTTGAGAAGGTTGGGGTTGTTTGTTTTTTCCCCCTCTTTCTGTAAACCGTGATTATAGTCAGCAGTATTAGCATTTAATTGGTGCAAGAGCCAAAACACAGATCATAAGTGCTTCCAAAGGTGTCAGGTTGATGCTTACCACTGGATGTCTCACTGTTTGTTTTTTAGTTTGTTTGTTTGGTTTGTTTTGTTAGTTTGGGGTTTCTGTTGTTGTTGTTTTCCCAAAATTTACCTGTGTTTTGACAGTTTCTATGCTTGAATGTGAGTGAAATGAAATGTTGTTTTCCTTAGGCGTATGTTTTTACAGGTGGATAAAATATGTATAAATTCAGATAAAATTAGTCTTAAATATTTTGTAAATTTGCTAATTGTAAAATCATTAGGTTTTTTTCTTATAAATATGCTTAGTATTGCATTTTCATTGTACTACATTGCCACCAGAGAGACAGACCAGAATTCCATGACTGCCATAGGTTGTTAGAAATAAACCCCAAACCTTCACTTTAGAATGTTGTCCTTATCACAAGCATGTTATAAAGATCAACTTGGAGCAAACAGTGAAATACTGACATAGGCCTTCAGGTATTTAGAGAAGAGAAGAATGTCTATTGTTCTGGGCCAGTTTATACTCACATTCAAAAATCTCACAGAATGTATGCATGCAAATATGGAATAATTATTTTTAAATGCATTTAACTCTTTCTTCACAATTTCTGAACATAAGCTATATCAATTTTACTCTAATTTAGTTTTTTTGTTTATGTATGCTAACATTGTGAATGCGTTAGGATGGAATTTATAAGTGAGTGAATAAATCAGTTTTCAGAATGGTTTAATTTATTACAGTCTGAACAAATACTCAGAAATAATATGAATGATCAACGTGTTGGTATTGCATGCAACCTCCCACAATCTTATTTAGCATAAAAAGGGCAGGAAAGGGGAAAATGTCCATACATCATATACTTAATTGGCTGACTCTGGTTATTAGAGTAGAAGGTTATTTTCATTCTTAATGTACTTAATATGAATTCAGTATTTGAGAAAGGTTGGTAGGTGAAAGATTAGATTTAAGGTGACTTGTGAAAGGTTTAGTACTTCTGGATTGACAGCTTTAGGAGTCTGACGGTAGTTAGACAAAGAACGAAAAAGCAGAGACAGTTCTGGTGCCATCTTCTTATCACTCAAACCTTGCCACAATGCTTTTATCCAGAATTCATGTGTCTTTTAAGGTGCATATCTTCAAATCCTGACTTTTTTTTGCTGAATTTATTTGCAAGTAAGCTGATTGATGGCAGTGATAGCAGTGGTTCTGTTCAAGATCTCAGTCTTCTGAAAATCGACATGAGAGGCCATGTGAGGCATCATAATTCAGCCAGGAGTTTTTCTGAGGCATCTTCCAGGTAAGGACTGAAAGTGTTAAATCTTTAGTAAACTGGTTATTCTTCTCTGAAGTGGCAAAACTTGCTGGAGATGTGATGGGAAGCATCCCAATTCAAGCTTCAGTAAGGTTTCTTTCTCAAAAATTGTAAGAACAGGCACATTGCAATTGAAAAGTTTGGTAGCCCATCACCTCTTTTCTGATTCTCTTACGTGTGAATTGCTTGAGGATATCCAAGGAAGCAAAAAACAAACAAACAAAAAAAACTGGAAGGTAATGGATCAAGTCTGTACCTCTTATTCACAAGTGTGTTTCCTATAGAGTGTCGCTTTTCAGAGTAAATAAATAAATAAATCTTACAAAAATAATATATGATATATATCTTATTAAGGTGACCTTTCAGTGATATTTCCTGTGGCTTATATTCACGCTATCTGCAACTGTAATATAGTCGCTAAAGCCTGTGCTATTTATTTCTCAAGAGAATCAGATCTCCAGAAATGAAACAGCTTAAATTTCAATGCCATTAATATATTATCATACGGTGAGTAAGTCCTGTAGCTTGGACTTAGAGTAAAAAATCTGAGTATTGTAAATATAGTTCCTTTAAGAACTTTAGTAGCTTGAGAAGCATTTAACAAGGGCATAGCATAAGGTCCTTGTGCATAAACATTTTGGAAGTGAATTGCAGCACATAAAGAATTAGCTGCAGTACCAGCATGCTGATGACTAATGAAGGGATTGTTTAGGAGTGTTCCACGCAGTGTTTGGTAGCTCTGCTAGTAATGAAAGTTTTAAAAATGACCTATAAGGTCTCTTGGTCCCACTACCTTTGACTCACTGAATTTGACTCATTTGTTTAGGAATTCCCAAATGTTATTCAAGTAATGTACATTAACAGGATATTGACTTCACTTGAGGCAAACATCAATGTTTATTGAAAGGAGAAATAAATATTGACTGAAGTAAAGTCAAAGTCAATATTTACCTCAGAGAACTATAAACCTTAATGTTCACTGTAATGCAAAGTAAATATACAGTGTTCACCATTTACATCTTGATCATTCTGTGGATGTACGTACAGTGCTGCGTTGCTATTTACAAGTAAAATGTTTCTGTCTTGATAAAGATGTGAAAGGAATTTTCAAAGACTTAGATTGTTCACTGATGGCAACATAGCTATGGAAATATGACTTGATAATTTTACTATTACATTCCGTTATTTAATATTACCACAGCCTTTGGTTAAAAATATTTAATTTGAATTCTGAGATAGTGAGAATTTTGCTGTGATAAATTCTTATTCCCAAGAGAGTAATGTTTGTAATGTACTTACTGCAAATATGAACTTATACCAATTAAAAAATGGTCATTGATTTTTACGCCAGCTAAAGTCTAAACACTGACTTGGTAAACATGATTTATGTGCTTTTAAAGTATTGTGCCTGAAAGAAAGCTTTTATTAAAATGTATGTATTCATAAGAGTGTGATCTATGAGCTTGATCTAGGTAATTATTTGTTAGGAAAAAGGGTTTCAGGCAAGTTTATTGCTGTGTTCTAGTTGGTTACTAAATGAAATGGAGCTAAGAGTTCACTCAGATCCAGGTTGAGCAGTTGACAGGACCTCTATCTGGGCTGTAAAAACAGCAAATGATATAAATGAAGATTATATTCCTCCAACCCATCTTTGTGAAGACGCTAACAGATTTGACCTATTAATGAAGACTGGTTTGAAACTCCTGGCGTTTACGTATTGATGGTGTAAGATTCTGTTATGTCACTTGTTTCGGGAGTGAATTATGACTGACTTGTGTCATAAATAAATGGGCAATGGACGGTAAGGGTAAAAGTACAGACAGTTGATGAGGAAGAAGGTCATGACATTAAACTCTCCATTCAACTCTCATGAGTATATGTATTGATTCTAAGAACTGCTGTGTCTGGGGATAGCAATTATTACTATCTGTAGTATTTAAAAAAAATAAAAATCTGTTAATCTGATAAAGGCTTAACTGAAATTTTAGTTTTGTTTTCTCATTACAAGGTTTTCTTTATGTGACTGCTTTCGAAGCCAAACAGAATAAAATGTCCAGGATCTTCCTCCTCGTAGTGGTGGATGTAAAACTTTAGTTTTTTACCATTTGCTTTATTTTACTAATTGTCTTCATCTGTTCTTCATCTTTTCTTCACATGATATGTGCAGTGGAAAGCAAGCATAATTTTAGATCCTTAGCTGTGGTTAAGGATCTTCATGCTCACTAAGTTGACTAAAGCACAGAAAGGTCACTCTGAGTTAAATCACCTGTTTTGATTCAAGTGACAGAAACTTACTGCCTTTTTGACACTACCCGTTTTGTCCAGGAAGGGAATGTTTTCTGCACCGCTGGTGCTTTCTCTTCTTTTTGCTTCAGGCTGGTAATCCGCAGCACTGAGTGCAACATACAGAGTCTGTATGCAGAATTTTTAGACGTCTTTTAGTGCAACAGATAACTTCTGGCCTGATTTGTAAGCTGAGAAGTCATGACTCAGCTCAAGTCAAGACTCAACAGGTGAACTTCACTTTTTGACATATGCATGCTTTTTTCATGCGCGTAACCCTCCGGTAGCATTACACTTCTCAGAGAACTGGTACTTGAAAATGAAGTGGTGAGATGTTTCACACAGAATTAGATGCAGGAGGAAACAAACTCAATGGGACTTCCAATATAAAGGAGGCACTGGAAGGAGCTTACTGAATTCTGTCCGCGTATGTCATAGAACCAATGTTTCTGATTGAAGGTAAGGCTCTTTTCAGATATGTTGCAGAATGTATATCCAAAATGATGTAATAGTTCAATTTTTCAACTCTAGTTTTATAACTGCTGGAACAAAAAATGTAATACCCCTTTTATATAACTCAGATTGGTGATGTGACTTCTTCATAGGGAATGCTGTCATTAATCTGCTGCCTGGAAAATGCTGAAGCAAGCTTTCTTAGTTTCAAAGGAGGTACTGCTGCCTTTGAAATAATCTTGTAGGTACTATGTGGTGGAATACTAAATAGAAGACGGTTTCAGATCTTTTGACAACATTCTATTATAATGACTTTATGCCTATTATATCAAATGATTGATGTAGATGTAATCATTGTGGTTGACGGATGTTAGTGTAGCAGGGTGACATTTGATTTGCGTTCTGTTTGAATTCTGATTAGCTTAAAGAATAAATCTGTGCAGCGTGGTTAGAAAAAGAGTTTACTTGTACCTTTGTGAATAAGCCAGTGCCTGACTGGCATTTATTTATTTTTTATCAGTGCAGAAGGGTCAGCAATTCTTATTATTCAGACTTAAAAGTGAATTTTAATGTTTCTGAAAGGAACTAGATTGACAGCCAGTGGAAGCGAAGTCCTTCTTCCGTCTGCAAAAGAAGGTAAGAAGGGTGATCCTGTCCTTTCTAGAGTCTCTTTATTCTTTTTCACGATAGAATAATGTTAATGGTATCAAATCTGAAGAAGACTTCATTTTGACCATGTGTCTTTATGTCATAAGCTGCTGCGTGAAGCCATGCAGGAGTTTGAAGTAAAGTAGAATTGTGCAGTCTGTTTTGTATGGGCGAAAACAGGGAGTTGCTGATAGAGTGGCTGTGTGTAGAGATGACAGAGATGAAAAACGTGTGGAGTTTCTGTTACTTTCTTATTCCTTTCTGTACCTTCTTTCATCTCAAATCTATTACAGAGCAAGAGAAGTGAATGATTTATTACTGGGAAGGTCAAGAAAAATATTTTCTCTTAGATATATAAATAATTCTTGTTGTTATTTTATTTCTTAACTCTTATTATTATCATGGCCTATTTCTTGTTTTCACTTAAGTTCAACTGAATCTCTTGGTGAGACTTGAAGAGCTGATGTAGTCATTCCAGCTCCTAACTGCTTATGTCTGTATGTACCTGTGTACTGAGTCCAAAATTGAGATAGAGTTCTTTGATAGCAGCCTCTATGGTGCTAAATTTATCCTTTGTGTCCAAACGTGTTTGTAACATACCAGTGTTTTGGCTGATGTTGAGAAGTACCTCTCAGCATCAAGGCTTCCTAGTTATTTTTTTTGTTCTGCCCACCTTCTTCAGCAGTAAATTGGGGATGGGCAAGAAGTTTAGAGAGGCCATAACCTGGGCAGCCGAGCCAGTCTGACTTAATGGATGCTCTATGCCATGTAACACCGAGCTCGACAATAAAAACGGAGGCAGGGTTTTTTTAGGAAGCTACTGTTGCTCAGAAACTGCCACAGGCCATTGGTATATGATAGAAAGCTGTGAACGATTGCCTCTGCATCACTTTTTTCTTCTTCTTTGTTTGTTAAACTATGTTTATCTCAACCCGTGCCTTTTCTTGGTTTTTCTCTTCATATGTATTTTTTTCTCTGTCCTGCTGGGGGTGGGACAGAGCGAGCAAGTGAGCATATGTGCGGTGCTTAGCTGCTGCCTGCAGTCAAGCCATAAAACGTGATTATTTTATTAAACTGCAATTGGAATGCTAGTCTTAGATAAATTTTGGACAAGTGAGTCAGACTCCAGCTGCTGCCTGATTGCAGTATTAGGACAAGACCTGTATGCTTAGCCCTTCATGAAATAAAACAACCTTAAGTACGGAGGTAAGAAAGGAGTTTAAGTTAATTCTACAGGAAGTTATTTAATCTGGACAATAATTGATCCATGAGAAGCACACAAGCATGAACCTGCTGCTCTGTGTGAAGATAGCTGTGAGGTTCTGAACAGCCAGCACAGATGACAGTAAATGACAGGTGTGAGATTTACAAGCCTTCCTGTCATTTCTTGTCCCAAGGCACTAGCAGATAACGTATGTAAGCAAATTTGTCATAAATAGCGAACTATCATAATCAAAATAAGCAGGTACCATGGGAGAGATTTCAGGCACACTTGAAATGCTAGTTTTCCTAATGATGTCAGGCCCAAGCCTTAAGTGTGCCAGTCTTTGTTTTGGAGGCTATCAGGAAATACAAGCACAAGTTGTTTTCTATCCTGCTTTCTCAACTTCTCATCCAACAGCGAAAGTAAATGATTAGAAATGAGAAGTTCTCATGTTATAATCTTTTCATTTAAAATAGAAATGGTAATCTTGGCAATCTACCTTGGCAAGATCTACCGTAGTGTCATCAGGTATTGGCGTCTGGCTCATTTTCTTTCTGTGTGTTCATCTTTATACTATTAAACCTCGTGATGGTTGAAACTCTTATGGCAGTTCAACTTTGATAGATTTTGGCTGTAATATATTGCTACGCTATCTTTTATTTGCTATCCTTCACTGGCAATCTTGGAAATCTTTCACAAGAGATTTCTCTTTACTTATGCAATGAGAATGACCAAGCACTCACAAGTGATTTTTATTTTTTTAAACTGCTAGTGTTTCTTTTTGAGAGGTCACATGGAATGGAAATAAATAAAATAATCATAGGAGAATCTGCTTTGCTGCTATCGATTCCCATTAAAGTTTAAAAAAAAAAAAAAAAGAGAGAAGAAAGGAAAAAAAAAAACAGACTGGGACCCTGGTAAAAGTTTGCCTTGTGTTTAATGTTCTGGTTCTTAATGTCACTGATGTCTATTTCAAGACACTTCAGAAGTGAGTTGTTAGTTAAAAAATGTGCAAATGTGTTTTCCTAAGATGGTTCAGGGAATAAATTCTCCTCATTTTGTTTTTTTTCCCATTATTGTTTAACCCTGTGTTCATTGAGATGACTGTCCTAATGCTGATATGTTGATCTTTGAACCTGGCTTTTTATGTGGGTAATGTGTATTTTATGTTTTGTTTGAAAGTGTGGATAGTCTTGTGGCAGAAAGGGAAATCAACTTTTTTTTTTTTAAATGATTTTTTTGAGAACTGAGCATGTTCCACTGGACGAAAACGTCTTACTTCATTTATGCATCTACAAAAGCAACTATTCAGTACTCTAAGTTAACACCTATAAGGAGCTCTTAGGACAGGATCAAGATTAGTCTGTTTTATACAACACAAGGCAGGAACATCTAGTTTGTCCCCCATTATTCCGTAGCCTGTAAAATTTCACTCCATGTAGCCTCACTTAGAGACCAGTGACTTGTCTCTTTAAAGCATATTTCCAAAAAGGGCCTCAGGTTTAACTTAAAATTACTTAGAGAAGAACAATGGTTTCAATTATGCCAGTGGTTAATCACCATCACTGTTAAATATTTATGACTTGTACTTAATTTAAATTTGTCTGCATTTAATGTCAAGCCCTTTCTTGATGTTTTGCTTTTCTCTTCCAGATTTGAAGAGCATTTGATCACTTGTGAATGTGCTTGCATGCTGGAATGGAGTTACTGCTCAGTTTTCCTTTGGAGGAGATTGCTCTATTTCAGTCTCTCACTGCAAGATGTTTTGTCTAATCACTGAGCAATTTTTGAGGCTTCGTTTTTCCTGTTGTTTTTTTTTTTTTCCTTTTCTTTTTTTGTGTGTATGTTTTTTATTTGTTTTAAACACCACCTTTGATTTTTCAACTTGCTTTTGAGACAGTGAACATCAGAAGGGGATCCAGTATTGCAGCATTTATTACAGTGAGAATATATTTAGAGATATAACTACTTTTCTACTCCTTTGCTTTTATATGAGCATTTTTTTAAGTACAGGCTGTATTCTTTTTTTCTCTAAATCTATGAAGTTAATTGTATTAAAATGTGCTCGATTTAGAACATCTGCTTTACCACGTGTACTATAAAATACAGTACTTAAAGCAAGTTATTTATAGTTTATTATTATATGCTTTCAAGGTGATAAGATTCAGTAAGTGAACTTTGGAAAATATTCATGTGAATTAAATGAGCTTCAGAACTTTTTTTTAAGTATTGCTGTCATAAGTAATGTAATATTTTGAATATGGTTATATAAATAGATAAAAGCAGTTTGTATGGTGTCCAAACATTACTTGCTCTTTGCAAAAACGTTTTGAATGAAGTTTTTATATTTGATTTGCAGTGTTAGCATGAATTAAATCCATAAATAAAGCAGTTGAAAAAGATAACTGATGTTGTAGAAATACCTTCTGACCTAAGCAGCAGTTTGATTTTGGATTTCTTCGTATCCCACGTTCTCTCAGCTCTTATGTTTAAACTTATGAATTTGTAGCCTGCTGCTGATTTTTTTACATTTCCAAAAGATAGTTTTGTGAATAATTCAACAAGATAAAACTTCTGTGTTAAGTAGGTGTTTGATTTTCAGGTTCATATACACCAAAATTCTATGTGTTTTTCTCCCTTGAAGGTTCAAATATTCTGAAGTGTTTGAGGTGGTAGACAACGTTGCAGTAATATTTAAGACAACTTAATGTTGAAATTACTTTTCTGTTGTTCAGTTCCCTGAGAAGATCAAGCTTTTGAGTTGATTGAACACCGATTTTAGGAATTAATTATTTACATAACATAATCCAGTGTTGCCTAACCTGTTTGCTTATCTCTTTGTATCTGTCTGATGTCTGATGAATGAAAAAAATATGAACCGTTCAATGTATATTAAAATTAAAATATGACTTGAAGAATGCATTCATCCTATGACAAAACCTGAATCCAACTTGTAACAAAACTTGAGTTTACTATTTTATGGAGCCTGATTCCTTACCAGCTTGTTACTGAAATAGTTCAAATTACCAGAGGTTCTCGGTTGGGTGTTATTGCATGTCATCATTATGGTGATATGACGTAGGTAGAGGTATGCAGGGAAGGGAGAACAAAGTTTTAAAAAAATGAATTCTTCTAAAAATGACAGAAGGTCTGGAGTCAGCTAAACAAAGGAACTGGTGTTGGCTGTCCTATATATGGATGGAATAAAATGCGTTAGTTTGATTCTTTGCTGTTATTCTAAGCAGAACTATTGATAGATCTTAACTGAGAGAGATCGCACTGCTGGTATTTCCAGAAGTTTTTCTGTCTTGGTCCAGATCCATGCCAATTGTAACGCATTTCAAAGGTGTTTCTGTATCGAACTGCTATATAAATCTTTATCTGTTCCTAGTACTCTGAGGGAAATAGTGAAGAGGAAAAGGAGAGCTCCAGTGGGATGTAGTTCCCAATGCTTTTGCAGATGTGGTAGAGAGTCATTTTTTCTGTGAAAGGTAGTAAGTAATGACAAGTTTAACTACTAATGGAGAAAGTGAGAGAATCTGGAAATGTCAGTAGACATGCTCACACTGAAATAAAAATTGTACCTTTGTTTAGTGACAGCCTCTCAGGAGAAAGCTAAAGGATTGAGTGGCGGAGAGATTGTTCTTTCCAGTTCAAATATGATACTGACAAAGCAGTGCTGTGACATGTGCTCCATAGTTTAAAAAGAAAGCATCGGTGCTTTAAATTGAAAGACTCATGGAGAGATCATGGGAACTTGATAACAGCATGGTAGGGCATGGCAGGCAAACCTCCACTCCCACTCAATAACCCTTGAAAGAAATCCCAGTGGCCAGTATGATTAAGACAAATGAAGTCTCCATGGAAGGAAACAAACCATCCACTCTCTTTTGGTGCAAGAAAAAAATTAATTGGATTACAACTCTTGCTTTTGAGGTAAGATGTTATTAAAATGATTCAACTTCATGATTAATTTGTTTTATTTTTGCCTGATACAGGAATTGGGAAAAATGCATTCAGTAACCTTCCTGGGTAGTTATGCCACTAGTAGAATATGTCGTATGAATCATTTGGGTTAAAACTCCCATGAAAGTTTGAAGGCATAAATGTCTTTATGTATTTACATATGGACAGGCAACTTATGGCAATATTTGGTTGGTAAGATCACAAAGGTTTATGCAAAGTGCCAGTTTTCCACTGAAACTACTTTGAATTTAAAAGCCTTGTGAAATATGGATTGCTGCTTGATTTAAATCTTGTCTCACCCTGCTCATTCACTTTGTTTCTGCTGGAAAGAGATTTGAATTCTTCAAGTTCAGGAAGAGCTACCATCTCTCTCGAAAAGCAAAGGAGGAAAATACAACTTTTTGAACTGGGGATCATGTATTCTGGCCTTGCGTCCTGTCAAGTAGTTTAGATGTAAACTTTAGGCCTGATTTAGGCCTAATATGTGTAGATTTATTAAGTACTGTTGAGATTCTATTTCTGATGGTTTCATCACCATTGGCAACTAAAAAGGGTAATTAACCCTATACAAAAACTTGAAGAAAAAAAAACTTGAATCAACATTTCACGTAGCATAAATGGATAAAAAAGAATTTTAAACTGAAAGCTTAGACCAAATGAAAAAGATTACTAATGGTAGAAATCGTTTTAAAGAGCTGCCAAAAAAGCATTGAGATGTAGTCTTTTCACAATGGGGAAAAATTACTCTGTGTTTCACTGTTGTGATGATGCTCAGAGCATGCACCATTACTTCTTGCAATCTGACAGTCAAATAGAGCCCCTGCAGAGTATATGGAAGTCATGAGAAATATGCTAGGAATTTGACCTTTTACCTCCAACTGCTGGGCCCTCCTGTTTCAAAAATTAGTCTTTTAAATGCTGAGTAATGCAGATGTGCAGCATGGCTGCCAATAGGTAGATTAAAGAGAGGAAAATGAGGCAGCAGGGACATGAGTAACCCTAAGTGCATGGCAGGAAGAAAATATAAAGGAAGAGAATCCGAATATAGAAGGGGTTGGTATAACAAGGAAAAGAAAGACTCAAATGGGGGAAAGAAGAAAATAAAATACAGTGTATCAGAAATAGAATCTGTGAGTAAGGAACATTTTCAAAGCTCTGTGGCCTCCCTTAATCCTCCACATAGATTGCTTTGAAAATATGCCCATTTGATCTGTTCTCTTAACAGGTTTTTTGGAAATATAGCATCATTTGACCTCCCTAAAAAAGGACCGTGCTGATATTGCTAACAGTGACCAGCATTTCATCTTCCATGGGTTGAAACTCAGGTCTTGGCCCTCTCATCTCTGTATTTAGGTGATTTCTATTTGTTTTATACTTCACTGTTGCTTTTGTTACCAGTATTTAATTGGTTTTCTCTGCTTTTTTGGTCTTTTTTTTCTTTAATTGCGGGCTAATCTTAACTTAAATTATTAATCACTTTCTAGAATGAGAGGTAATATAGAAAGTAATAGTTTATTTTTACCATGTTTTACTGTATTGATATCCTTCGGTTCTGACCTATAGGAAAGTTGACCAGCTCTTTTTCTCTTTTTCCTTGAAGAAATTGTGTTATCTTTTTCCAAACACTTCTGTGATATCCATTCATGTTTTTAAAAAGAAAAGTCAAATAGAAAGCTCATTGAATAAAATACGTAAATGGAATTAAAAAGTCAGTACAAAAGCGGAGAGATCCAAGTGATTAAACTGATTCAAGCAAATACTTCCTTACGGTTGATAACATAAGAATTTAATATCTGTGATGTGTTTAAAAATAGTAAGGTTGTTTTACATGTGTATATTAATATATATATTTAAAACAATAAATTTGGAATTACCTTTGGCAGTAAGCTTAGAACACTGTTTTGCATATTTTGGGTGCAGTAATTTCTAGACATTGAAGTTGATGGCAGTTTTGCATGAGTAAAAATTGGTAGTCTGGTCCCCCGTGATTCATTGATAAGGGTATTACTTCTGACATTAGATTCAGCTAAGGGTAACAGACAATAGCGTGGCTGATTACTGAAGTAGATGTAAATTCTTTCACATTTCTATGCATTAAAAAGTCTTAGAATTCCTGAATTTTAATATGAAATACAATGAAGTGTATCAAATAAGATTCTCCTGTCTTGCTTTGTAATAATAAATTGCAGTGTGCACTTTCAAAGGGTGAAAAATAGCTTTAAAGAATCCTTGCCTCCTAAGGTTGAAAAAATATCTTATTTTACCAATATATCATTAAGCACTCTTAAATTTTGTGTTGTGATCTTGTGTACCTTTTTCTTCTTTAAGTGGTTATATCCAGACTTGTATGATCTTATTAAAAACAGCTGGGCACAAAGTAGCTGACTGGATCTCCATCAGTGAAATAATTGGCATACCTGCATATGACATTGGCTATCGGTTATAATAACAGTAGAAACAAATACATGTACTGTCCTTCAGCCTTTGGAACATAGAATGCTTTGGGTTAGGATTTGAGTTCAAGGAACTGAGCCTTTACACGCAGGCTTGAAATAAGTAACAATCATCACCCGGTGAAAGATGTGTTTTGTTAAAATCTCGCTTTACATTTGAGAATCTGTGTAGGAAGAAGAGTAGGTGGTGGTTGAGGCTAAGAAAAGAGTAGATGTAGCTACGTTTGTTTCTCATCTCAGGGGCAGTGGGGCTACTCCCCCCTCCCCACCACCTCCAGAAACACAAGAGGAATCTTCAGAATTACTATTTTCCTTCTAGTTTAATGGTGGCTGTGACAGCCATATGCCGTCATCAGATCGTGCTGCTCTTCAGCAATGGTGAGTCTTTTTGGAGGAGGATTGGTACCCACTAAAAAGCATTAGTCTCCACTCTATCCAGCATTGTTCTTGCAGTGTATGTCACAAAGGAGAAAACAAAATGAACATTTAATAGAATGATGCTTTTTTAAAATCGAGTTTGGTATTCGAAGTCTATCTTGAATGATATAAAAGGTTCTTGATCATGTCCCAGCAACTTACATTATTAAAATGCAAAACCTTTTATGTTGAAAATATTTTCTGAATGTCATCTTTAGTAAAGGTGACTGAAAGAATCAGGCTTTTTAGTCACTTGGAAATAACAGATGATGTCTATACTGCCTTCTAAAATAAGATTTTAATAATGTATTGGTAATAGCAAAAAAAAAAATTGGTGCATTGATCATGGAGTTCCAAGAATGTTTAAGTGATCTGGGGTCTCTGCTGCCAGCTGCTGTTCTTGCTCCCTAAAAGCATTTGTGTTCTGTAGATTTAAAAAGCAAACAAAAAACAAACCAAAACCAAGACACACTGGTTTGCTATATAAGTAATGACAGATATAACACCTCTGTGTTTTTTTAACAGCTACTTATTTTAAATAACTTACTGTATTTTTATCCATCAGATGATCATTTTACCATGAAGTATATGACAGGCAGTGTCAGAAATTCATTGAAGTTCAGAGAATTGAGACATAATGCTTGATATTCAAACACTGTATAGTTATTGTAAAAGGGTTGTATTAATCTGGAGCTCCCTAGACATGTAATTTTCTTGTT